TCATCAAACCCCTCGCAAACCCGCCCAACCAGCCATAATCTCAGCTACGGCTCTTCTGAGTTTTGAGAAGGGCATGTGCGCGTCTTACCGCTCAACGGACATCTTCGTGATTCGGAAGGATTCATGCACCAAACACGCACGGAACCAACATGAAGCATCTACCATATTCGGTTTAAACAATACACTTCATGAGCAGCTAGGGACGGCTAACATTCGTGGATGGAACCAAAGACCTATGTAGACTTTGTGTCCGGCCTAGCAATGTCCCCAAACCCAGACCTTGAACCCTACAAAGCCTAAGACACCCAAACCCTAAACACTTAATTCCAAACACGTAGACCTAAATCCCAAGCCCCTTTATAAACATACAAGCAAGGCTTCCCAACGATGCGGAGCTGCGCCGGCAGATGCCGGTACCATCGCTCTTTCAGCTGGTGCCTGGGGATGGTGAGCTTTTGGGGGCAAGGGTGCAAAAGTCTGGGGCTTAGTGTATCGGGCGTTAGTGTTAACGCTCAGGGCCTCCGGTTTGGGGGTTTTAGGTGTTCGGGGTCTAAAGGGTTCCTGTGATTGTTGCTGTGCTATTCGCGTGTTTTTCTATAGATGCTTTTTTGTATGCCTACACTCACGAATGCAGATTGTCACTCGCAGCATCATGCTTAGCACCACAATTGGAGGTAGTGGAGGTGAGCCAGGACCAGCATAATTGGTTTCTCAGTGAGGCATCTGTAGAGATGAGCCTTCAGAGGAGGGATCATGATCATTGTGTTTGGATGTATGGTCTGTCATCACGCCAGTTGAGGTGCTTGGCTTGCAAAGTGCAGACTTTGCAGCTGTTCAACAGGAACTTGTCCTGACCAGGAAGCACAGTAAAGACTGATGTGCCTGAGAGAGTCCAAGGTCCCTGCACTGTCCACGTTAACCGCCAAACAAGATTCTGAGCTTCATTCCCAAAATGCTGAGCAGTCTCCGAGGAAGAACAGTCAAACGTAGTGACATGAGACGTTTGAAAGCGTCCATTTCACAACGAACACACATGTTTCTGCAGAACGCTAAGCTTCATCCAGCAGCCAGAAATTCAGACTCTCGCCCCGAACCATGGCGTAATTCTGAAGCTCAGAGCCCCAAGCCCCTAGACGTTCAATCCCTACATCGCCAGACTGACGATCGCTAGGCTATACTCTCCATGAGATCGTGTAGGTTTCTTCTATCCAACCAGCACCAAGCCCTTGCACCAACGAGTTGCTGCGCTTCGGCTACGCTGGACAACGCTGGGAAGCCCTCGAGGATCAGGCGACCAAGTTGCAGCCCAACTGGGGCACTTTTTCGGGTATGGGGATAGGCTCAACGGTTTACTCGACTTTGGTTTGGGGGTACCTTGGTCTCCCTTTCGGAGGATAGGGGGCTCAACTTCTGGGGGGTTTAGCGTCTGTGGCTTGGGATTACTGTAGGGTTTGTCTTGGCTCTGATCTAAACGTAAGCAAAGCCGTGCTTGTAGCAGCCATCTGATGATGTCGCCCCTCGTCGTCAACTGTCCATGCGTCACAGACAGCTCGTATCATCATTGGAGTTACGTTTGTAAAAACCAGTGTTGATGCAGTGCTGCTAGCTGTTCCATGTTGTTTGTTTTATCAACGCTCCCCTGTCGTCATTTGTTGCGGTATTCTGCTTGACACATTTATTCTTGCGTCGGCCGCTATCATGAGACTGGTCTTCGTAGCTTTCATCTTGCGACGAAGGCTTTCATCGCAACTCGTATGACGTTGATAAGCCCCCAAATCCCCTGAACCCTCAACCCCAAACCCTCTTCTTGTCAACCGAGGTCAGTCCATCCCAGCTGCCAGGGCTCTATGCCTTGGCAGTGCTTCTGGATGCAAAGTTGCTGGCCGAGGTGTGGTGGGGGAAGTTAGACCGTTTCCCCAAGAAGCACAGCAATACTTTCAATCCCAAGCCGCTTGCGAACGTTAAACCCCAAACAGCTCCATAAAGCCAAAGAGCCTGTCCGGAGGCCGCCTACAGCCGTCTTGAGGGTGCCCTGAGCCCGAGCCGCTGGGCTTTCTTCGTTTGGTGCATGTTGGGGTGCTTGGGGTGGGTGGCTGAATCAGGCTTTCTTTTCGGGGGGACATACTTCAGGGCGGGCCGGAGGAGGGGTCGAGCATATATGGGTCTGGGGTCAACGGGTTTGGTTCCAGCAGCTGGGCTAGCGTAGGTAGAGCATTTAGGGAACTTTTCAAGCTTGGGGTCCAGGGTGGAGGTCTTACTCAAGGATGGGCTCCACGGTAATTCAAAGAAGATTGTTCGTTTTGGTGACATTGTACCTGTTGCCTATGAGGGGGGGGGGGGGGGGGTTGATGTTGAGTTTGAAGAGGTATGTTTCCGGGGTCC